GCAAGTAACCAAGTAACCAATGAATGAAGTCAATCTGACCTCACTTCAGACATTCCTAAGAAGTCAGGGCTGTGAGAAACCTCAGCGTCTGTAGGACCATGTTTCCACCTATTTAGTTTTTATGGTTGTGAGAAGTTCTGTTGAATTTTCCACTAGTCAGAGGCTGTGGAATATTACTGCCCGCTCCCCCCTTTCTTTTCTCGCTCTCGGTCCTAAATGCGTCTGCATCACCTGGCAAAGCTCAAACTGAGATTTGAAAGTCATTATCTGCTCAATGATCACTAATGTCAAGCCCCCCTTAAATGTCAATCGAGTGGTTTTCCAAAACTGGAAAAGGGGGCAATATTTATGTAACAGTGTTGTGTAGTTTGATTCAGGTCACCATCTGTGAGGACTCAATGTCCCGGAGCGAAATGGACAAGATTATTTAAGTTCAGAATATTAAATGCAGACAAAATTGCCATTTCACTGGAGAAAGTCCTTAAAGGGTTAGTTCAGCCAAAAATGAAAATTCGGTCATTAATTACTCATCCTCATGTCGTTCCAAGCCTTTGTTCATCTTCGAAACACAGATTAAAATATTTTTGATGAAATCTGAGAAAAAAAGGATCTTACGGGTTTGAATCAACATGAGGGTGAGTAATTAATGGCAGAATGTTCATTTTTGAGGGAACTAACCCTTTAAATACCTGGACTTTCTGGTTGTATGTGGTTTTAAAGTGTCCCCTTTTCAAACGTTTAGAATTTCATCTAGTTTCAATACTTTGCATCTAAAATTCATCTCGCCTTCAAGATAGAAGAACACCTCACAACTCCCCGTGTCTTCTAAAAATGCTTTATTTAAATAGCATTTTATTTCTTTGTCAAGCTTTTGCCGTAAAATGATGTCCATTTTTATCCGAGTAAAACATTCCAGTAGAAAATTGCCTGAGCCCCACAAAGCACGAAATTCATCTTTTTATTTGTATCATACATATCGAAAATGCCAAGAATTGCACCATTTTAGTCACTCATTGTACTGTAAACTTAGAGGAGGGATAATTGGGAGGGTCTGTCAAGAACATGCCAGGTCATATCCACAAAAGAAAAAAAATACATGATATTTCGCAAAAAGAAATTAAGCCTTTCTATGACTATTAAGATGTATTGCATTGTAACATTATTTTCATGACAATTGGCATGTACATTTCAAATGACTGTATTGAATTAATGAGAATCCAATGGAATTCAATGAGGGGGAAAAAAGTCAATAAAAGATTATTAAAGTACATTAAAGTGGTAAGAATTTGGGGAGGGAAAATGTCAGATTGCAAGAGATCTTAATGGCCCCAAAACAGGCTCTGTTTTCTTTTTTTATGCGAAATGTAATTTCTTATTTTTTCCCTTTTTAATTTTCTGGTGAAAAGTGATCTGTAATGTTTTTGTGAGATCCCTCTGTATAGAGTGGCGGAGGTATGACATCAGAACCCGGAAGACTAATTCGCCACCGGTTCCTTCGAGATTTTCCTATGGGGTTTTTGATTTATGTGTAAAATAAAGCCTGTGGTAAACATAACTCGACTATACTTTGACGTTTTGTTCTACTACGTAAATTACACACCCATAGCTAAAACGCGAATTTTGAAGCAGTTATGTTCATTTTTGAAAACATGCGTTTTTCATAAGAAACTAGATAAGACAGTTTGGGGTGTTGAGTGTGTGCCGTGTACATTGTAGAACAAAACATCAAAGTGTTGTCAAGTTATGTTTACCGCAGGCTTTATTTTACTCATAAATTATAAAACCCCATAGGAAAACCTTGAAGGAACCAGCGGTGAATTAGACTTCTGGGTCCTGACGTCATACATGTACCACTTTATAGAAGTCAGTATCTGTATAACTGGAATCACTATCTCTCTGGCAGCTTCTTGAACCCAAGTGTCCTTTTACTGACCAACCAGATCGGTCGCTGATCAGTTAGTACAGCAGTCATTTTCAGAACGTCTTGAAACTGAAGCTAGGCGTTGTGTTTGAGCGGCGGGGTCACAGTGAAATCTCGGAGGTGTCTCTGGCTCTGTGTCAGGTGCAGGTTAATAATAAAACGGTTTGAGCCGAGGGCGACGACTGAAAACAAGAGGCCCTTCAACAAAACCATGAATAATTTTGTAGCCAGTGTTTCTCTAATGACTTGGAACTGCCTGATAGCTCTGTGCTAATATACTTCGTTTTGGTTCTGTTCACTGCTTAGATCTAAAACTTGATTTGCGATTTTAAGGTGAATCTTGTGAAAACATTTCCAGGTCATATTTCACCACAAAATTGTGTACAAAAAAAGATTCTCCTAAAATTTCAAATGCTGTAATTTGAAAAAAATGTAAATAAAATGTGCATAAATTAAGCATAAATTAGTTAATTAAAAATACTGTAAATGTACTTTACAAATGTACTATACAATTGAAATAATCATATGTACATTACAGTAATGAGTGCATTTTGTTTCTCATAATATTAAGCTACTGGGGTAAATTATCACAATGAATAAAATATGCTTCACATTCTTTATTGATAATGTCATATTTCTTGATTTTGTGGTGAGATTTGACCTGGACATGCTCTTGACAGTTTCCATAAGATTCAATATTTAAGATCAGTTAATGGATATTTAGATCTTTGTCACTTTGTGGTCCATGATGACTGATGACTGAAAAAAGTGAAACATATTTATATAAGCTGCATATTCCATACATGCATTAAGAATGTTATGAATTTGAACAACGTGTTCATATAACAGGAGTGCAATGGCTAGGTATCTGTGTAGATGTACATATGTGAATGTGTCCACCAAGAAAACCACTTCTGTTCAGTTTTATTTTATTTTTGATGTGAAGGACATTTCTAATGTGAAGGGGGGAAATGTTTACAAGCACCATTTATGTTTTTTGGAAAGTTTAATTTTGTTGAAGCGAGATTATATTTTTCCACTTTAATATGAAAATTTCAATGTGGCCACAACTGTTTATTCCCTTTGGAATTAAGACTTATGGTGCAACAAAGTAAATTTGAACATCCTAGACATTTCATAGCACCACCTCTGTATGTATATATATATATATATATAAATATTAGTTATTTTCTCTTATGATTTGAAATGACCTTGTGAATGTCCCTTTTTAAACCTCTGCTCTTAAAAGGGATGTTTACAGGAAGCATCTGTGTCGGGATTTTTATTATGATACCAAACAAATCGGTTTTACAGCTTGCGCTTTATTTGAGATCAGTTCTTTTGTGAATGTACTGAAACAATGTACAGATAATGTTTCATTTATCCTTATATCTTTAATATTTCTACCTGTTTTGTATATTTAACTGAACTGGGAGTGTATTGGGTTATTAGGTTGGCATGGACCCAAGTATGTGTTTGCTGGAGACCAGCAGGGGGCGCTACTGTAGTGCAGCGATGCTTTCGGCACTGATAAGGAGTTTGTAAATACTGTGAAATATTGTGAAAAACACTGTATAATGTTTTCGCTTCTATTCAACTGTGGGAGGATAATTTAATAATTATTCCAAAAATTTCCATTAAAATGTCAGAGTTGTCAGATCTGTTTGTGTGCATTTGCCTTTATAAAAAATAAAAATAAAAAAAAAGTTGCTTTTTCTTTTTTTCTTTGATATGCTAGAATAATCTGTACTGTGCATTAAAAATGCCAAATTTGCCTCTGGTAACCCAAAGTGATTTGCGAGTCTTTTGCACCACACCTGGTCAAACACTTCAATTTCCTCCCTGAACTTTTGCCTGTCTCCAGTGGTGACCTGCATTTTGTCCCAGTAAGCACAGGAAGACTACTATTGAGGATATCCTGAATCAAACAAGCACAATGCAGTTACACACGTGCAGGGAAACATCCTCAGCGCTAATGTGGAGGGACTCGTTTTCTGCAAGTCTCGGGTGTAGGCTACTAATGAGCTAAAAGCGTATGGACAGAGAGAAGAAAGAAAAAATACAACGTTCTAAACAATCAGCCTAGCGTCGATATTATAGTGATATTACTACTGAAGTAATTAATGTAATCTTCTGTACAATGGATAGCTAAACCACAAGATAGCATTTTAGTAAATAAAGAGGACAAGCAATGATTCGCCAGTTCTGGTCAGGCAAATACCAGCGCAAATGTAACTTAGGCCTATGTTCTGAGAGTTATGTATGTCTGTGAAATATTTGATGGAATCAGGATGGAGGGCATTTATGTATGATCTAAAGTCACTAAACTATTGACTACTGAATGTTTAAAGGTAGGGTTGGTAATTTGTTTTATAAGCACTGTTATACTGGTTGAAACATATCCTAATAGCAATCAATAACAGAAGTGGTCTACTTTGGAAGTCTCATGAACAAAATATGTTCGTCCAGTGCAATGATACTCTGTCAACATGTATTTCCCATAGAGGTATTTTCATACCTCCACACACAGACATCACACGTCATTAGTGCGTTGTAGACAGTCACCTCACCAGGCACCGCAAACAAGAGTCATCTTTTAGGCCTACAGTTTCTTCTGAACCAAAACACAAGCTTATGCTGCGTTCACGCCACGTCATAACCATAATTACGAGATGGCAACCCGTGTCATTCTAACCGGAGCTGTTCACATCCTCAGACTGATTGGTACAACTAGAGCTCTGGAAGTTGTTTACGTTCATTATTATTGTAGTGTTATGTGCTTTGAGACATGAGGTAATTTAACGCCTTCTCTCGTCTCACGACTCTTTGCAAACTTTGATGTGTGCGTTCATGTGTTTTGAAGGAGGCGTGTCTTTGTAGACTTGCTATTGCTAGCCGCTCCTGAATTGCCTACCCTACCTTTAAATGAAAACTGGATAGCATTTATGTGATAATGTCCATCTAACTGTATATTATCACTTACTTTAATCATGAACACTTCACTAATTATTCTCTGATTGTATAATCATATTGAAACATATCTCCAAAAATATAAAGAATTTAACCTGAACCACAAAAGTAAACATAACATTTTTATTTATGCTTCAAAAACAAACCACAAAACTTGCTTGGAAAAATGCAACATACAGAAAAAAAAAACATGTACACCTTTAAATTATACACTTTTATAAACAAAATAAAGTCTATATCTATATTTTACATCAGCTGGTTTTGCAACGTGTCTGGATTGTAATTTTTCCAGTTTAGCCTCAACAGACAAAATACAAACTGCATTTCTGTATCCAGTTTATACATCATAATTTCTTTAACATATAAGGTTTAGCATAGCAATCCATTCAGTGGCAAATCCTTTCTAAAATCTCCTCTTTAAAATATAAAGGTTTTTTTCCTTCTTTTTTTTTTTCACAAAATGTTTACATTTCATCTCAACTGTAAATAGACGAGCAGCCCAATAATACGGGCCCAGTCAAGAGAACTGCGGGAATGGTAACTCAGTTATTTTCTTCAGCACAAACTCACTCTATATACACACTAAAATAGAAAAGTAAACCAAATTTTAAAAATGGGAGTAATTTGAGGGGTATTATTCACATGTCCTTTCACAAAATGAATAGTAGAAATTATTTGCATATATATACACAAGTGCAAAATTCTACTCTGAAAAAAACAATTGTTCTATTATGAGTCATGAGGGTATGAAAAAATATATTAGATGGAAAAAAGTGCCTTTCAAGTGATTATTCTGCACTAAATAAAATAAAAAAAGATTTTGACTTAGGGTAATATTTTAAGTGCAGTACCCAGATTCAAACAGCAGAGGACGCCACCAACCTGAAGAAAGTCTGCAGTCCTTCACTGCCCTCAGACAGAGTCTTAAAGGGGCAGGCTACTTAAATCTCTGTAACAGAACAGCCTATAATCGTCATCTGATAACTAGATATAATAAACTGGACAAGGAGTTCGGGAATGTTCCTTCCTTTTTCTAAGTCCACTTGTTTTCTTTTTTGCTCAGCCCTTGAGCTCTGGAAAGTACCTTGGCACAGTCTTAACAGGAACTTTTGCAGGAAAACCCTGGTGACATCAAGAAGCATTATAAAGCACACAGGCTTTAGTTTTTTTTAAATATATATATATATGGCTAATCGTTCAGAGCTCTCCATCTATTGGCTATTTCAAGAAATAGTTCATCCAAAAATTATATTTTTGTCACTGTTTACTCGCTCTAATCTCATTTTCATTTTTGGGTGAACCGTTCCTTCTTATGCATTCTATTATTTGACACTGTATAATCTGTGGAACTTTTTCAAACAAGGCGACCGTGAATATACGTATCTATACCCCTTCTAGAAGAGTCGATTCCCTAACATTTTCTTATGCACTTTACAGATAACCTTTACTTTTGCAACACCAGCTCCACAGTGCCTTCAAACGACTCAAGATCTGCAGTCTAACAGCGAATATTGTAGATTGAAAAAGTCTTGCTTTTTCCAGGCTCTGGTCAGTGTGTAAGACCTATCCTGTATGCCTGGCCTACACCACTGGGAAAATCTGAAATATAAAATATCTATCCTTAATTTAACTACTTGTCATCATGTCTGCTGCCTCCCTAACCAACCCCAGAGGACCATGTGACCGATCTGGCAGGTTTGAAACCAGTTTGCAAGGACATCCTCAAAACTGGACCGGAAAACACTGACCTATACCATTTTTTTGGACACCATCACGTTGTAGAGATTCCAAACTCTTCCGATTATTTTCTCCATCTCATTCCCCCTCTTGCATTTTCCACCCTCTCTGTCCTCCCATCCTTTCCTCGTTTCATCTCAGTCGGTGAGGACAACCAGCTCTCCCTCACTGCGTTCGCCCGTGTCACTCTCCTCCCCTTCGCTGTAGGGCTGTCGGGGCCGCGCGGCCTCCTGTGTCTCGTCACCTCGGATCTGCGGGGGCTCCAGAGCCCGGGGGAGGTAGTGCTCCAGGAGGGCAGGGTGCAAGGGCAAAGTGGTCATGGACACAGGTGTGGTCGGGTACTGTACTTCACTGGGGGGGTACGGTAGCTGCTGCTCTGATTGGCTGTGGGAAGAAATGTTGACTGTAAGGGGGCGAATCGGGAACCATCATTAGGTTATTCAGACGACTGACGACTACATTCACAACGTGTTGAGCGTGTCTGCGGGCATCACCTCGGAGGGTACGTTACTCGTTGCTCCTGTCGTCGACTCTTCATCATGGCCTTGTACTCTCCCACCCTCAGTCGTCTTCCCTCTACAATACAGGTGCGCTTTGGCCGGGGTTTGTATTTGTAGTCTGGGTAACGTTCCAGGTGCTGCCGACTCAATCTGGCCTGCTCTTCATAGTACGGCTGCTTCTCCTGATTGGACATGGACTTCCAACGGGAACCTGAGGAGGCAACAAACAGGCATGAAAGTAAGGTATTATATAACAGGGGTTTTCAATCTCACGCCCCCAACGCAAACATCATTGCTATATTACTTAATATGTTGCATATAGTGTGCAAAACCGTGTTTACGCCTTGCCGTAACAGCTTGAGGATGTCTACACTGGACACGACAAAGTGACCATTGCAAATCCATTCATTTTTCATGTCAAAAGTAGCGCAGGCGCTTTGGAGAACGTCAGAAACAGTACGAGGCATCAGTTTACTGTCGGGATTTAGTGTGTTGCATCGTGCCGCTCGCGTCCGGTGTAGACAGGGTGTTAGTTAAACTGAAACATTAAAAATATCAACAGCTTATAGAATTTTGTGTGATGGCTGAGCTTATTTTTCATTCAGTTTTACCATATTACCATCTCTGGTATTCAGGATTTTTACAAGCCACCTGTCCATTTTAGTTTTTTGCTCAAATTCAGTTGCGCCAAATCTGCTGTAACCATAGCAAAGGATTAGCTGGGAGAGTTAAATTGCCCACTCTAGAGTTAAATTTGCTAGTGAAATCTCACATTTACATGGTCTCTTGTCATCTCCATCACACCAAATATTCATTACAATCTTAATGTTACCTCTTCCAACCCTAGACCAAAGCTTGAAGTCGTCACATTTAATGGGGGCTCGTCCGGGATAATTACAAATTATCCCTGTAATTGTGATAATTGGGGTGTGTTTGTTAGTGGCAATTGACGGTACGTTGTTGACATACTGGCAGTGTACTCATGCGAAGTGTTATTGTAGGGCTCATCTGCTTATACATTATGGACACTAATCCACTAAAAAAATTTCCCTAAGGAGATTGTATGTCTGTATATTTGAATTTATGCACCTGTTAGTAATGAATAAAGCTAAAATAGTCAAACGAGTTTATTAGAAGGAAGTGTTCATGTACTTTTGGCTCGGAGCAGGTTTTTCAGTGGTATTTTTGAGAGTCTGTGAGAGTTTAAATTCCACAACGACAAGGAAGAGAAAGATAATTCAGAGTGAAAGTACAAAGGAGTGCAAAGGAGGAGAAAAAAACAATCAGCAACCTGAAGAATTCACTGACCTAATTCGCTACATGTTGGGAATGTTTTACTTTGTAAGAATTCAGTTTAAGTCAAGTCAAGCCACATTTATTTATATAGAGCTTTATACAATACAGATTGTTTCAAAGCAGCTTTACAGAGATAACAGGAAAATAATGCAAAAAAGTTTGTTTCCAGAAGAAAAAAATGGCGTCACAGTCCAGCTTAAGTAAGTTCAGTGATGTTTCATTTTTGTTCTAAAAAAAGTTATTAATTTAGTTAATTTAAATATATATAGCCGCACTGGAGTAAACCGTGATGTCATCGCCCAGCTCAGTTCAGTTCTTGTATAATAGTGTCAATGCAGGCAGATCAATATTATTGTTAAATATTAAATTAAATGTTACATTTAATGTCCCCAACTAAGCAAGCCAAGCCAATGGCAACAAAGGTGGGAAAAGGAAAAAGGTTTATTGACTGCATGCGTGCAACGCCGTCTTCACTGACAGTGTGCTGCGGGCTAAAAGGGTAGCAAACTGACAGAAACTTAGGTGTGTACCAGAAAGAGCTTCAGGCCATGTTTGGGAGGAGAAAAAAGCTTGAATCAGGAGGGTCTCAGTAGTGCCACAATGGAATGGAATGCAAGTGTTTTGTGAAAGGAAAGCACTGAGGAAGGCAGAGGTGCAGCAAGGGATGAGGGGGCTGAAGTTCTGGGTGTTGTTTTCCTGTCACCCCAGGAGCCAGGTGGCTGTATGTGCCCTAGTGTGACCCCTTTTTTATCCCCCCAAGACCTTCTGTCCTCCTCTCCATTCCAGCAAGTTACATGTTCGAAAATATAGATGTGTTTTACAGAGTAACACTTAAACTGCTGACTGTAGGATTAGCTGTGAGCATAAATAACCCACAGTTCCCATAACCCCCCAGCCCAACCCAACAATAAACAACTGATCTCAAGAGAAAGATAAAGGAGTAAAAAGAGTTGAAATAATAATACAATAATGAGGACAATGTTGTCAGAACAGGTGCTTCAGAATCCACAAAGAGGAAGGATTAGAGAGAGTACAGTCACTAGAGCATTCCTTTCGTTGATGACATTTTTCTTTGACAAGACGAAAAAGAAAAAACACTTTCACAAGTTCACACTTGCATATAATTAAATAGAGTAAAGGTTATGCGTATTTGGCTTGATGTCCGAGGGGATGGCTCCGTGCTCAGAATTTGGCCTGAACCCAGAGTACTCCCCCCATCCCAGGTTGGGATAGGAATAGTTAAAAGTGAGGAGATGTGGTGGTGGAGGGATGCTGGAAAACTGTCATGGAACAGAGGTAAATCAGCTGTATACAGTATATTTACCTCTTATCTTATTAATTGGGTTGATTAACTGAATGCGCTCCTCTTGTGTTAATTAGGTTAATTTTCTGAAAGCGCTCCTCCTGAACTTTGTTAATAAAACATCATTTGATGGACAAAGCTAACACAGTTTGCTTATATAACTATTAACAAATAAAGACATGAATATAACATGAACTGATGATGTGCAGTCATTGGGCAGAGCATCGACCAATGATATCTGTATCAGTCATTTATGTGCATGCAACATGAGAATTTTCAACTACAACAATATTCTGATAATATTACTACTAGTAAACTATCTAAAGTTTGGTAACAATCATTAGACTATCACTAAAATCAAATTCAAAATGTCTTGTCAAAACGAATGCTTACCAAGGATCTTGCTGATACTGGAGTTGTGCATGTCAGGGAACGCCTGCAGGATACGTCGCCTTTCGTCTTTGGCCCACACCATGAAGGCGTTCATGGGACGTTTGATGTGGCCAGAGGAGGGAGTCCGGGATTCACCATAGCTTCCCACAACAGAGATTGCCATCTGTCCTGTTGGGAACAACAAGATTAAAAAAAACAATCAGTCTAGACACACAAAACTTCCTTTTGTTTGTCAACACGCCCTGCAGCCAAGTGCAATTACACAGGCAGGTGGCATCTGTGTTTGCTGCATGCCAAATAGGTTTTTATTGTATGAGAAATAGTCATAAATTCACCATTTGTTTACTTGATCAGAAAATTGCATGATCGACTGAAATTTCTTGATTCAAATTTTGCGCACGTACTAGTGACATGCAAAACTACATACTACGACTAGTCAGCTGACCTGTCTTACCTGCTAGCCATGCATAATTAGATCGGGATGAGGTGATCTCGAAATGGACATGCTTCTTAGGGGGTGTTTACAAAACGGTTTGCAAGAGAATGGAACGCAATGCAGGGATCCATTTTTAAGTTGACACAGTATCACTTTAGGAAACGGTGCAAGATGCAACACAATAGCCAAAGACATCATTTTGAATGCGTATGGCTGTATCAGGAAAGGAAATTAATTTAAAGACACTGTCCCGTGCGAACTAACCAACAGCTAAAGCACAACAATCAGGCAGCATACTAATTAATGTACCACCGAGAGAGAAAAAAAAAAGAAGAAAATTGAAGTTGACCATGACGGCCCATACTTACCCTCAGAGTCACTGCTGAGGTGGTCCTCATTCGTCCTCAGGCACTGTCCTTCATCCATCCGGTCTCGAGACGCCTCCTTATAATCAATCCAAAAAAAAAAAAGACAGAAAATATGTAATAGTAATGCCTGCTACAGAGTGTATGATTTCAGCAATCCTATAAAGACTAAAGACGCATCTATTTAGCCAGGCATTCATTTACATTTTTTATCTTACAGTTACTGTAAATTCGGCCACTACTTCATAAACGCCAGAGGAGAACTGGCCCCGACTGAGCCTGGGTTCTCCCAAGGTTTTTTTTTCTCCATTGGGTCATCTGATGGAGTTTTAGGACACCATCGGGTCACTTGATGGAGTTTTTCGGTTCCTTGCCACTGTTGCCTTTGGCTTGCTCAGTTGGGGATATTCAAATTAAATGACCCATCATACCACTGATCAGCTCTACCAAACTTGGATGTCTTTTTCCAGTAATAAACAAACACTGTTAAGTTGTTTTGATTGATACTGTGAAGCAGCTTTGATACAATCTGTATTGTGAAAAGCGCTGATTTGACTTGACTTGACTATAAGATCACTACAAATCACACTGTACGACATGGATCTAATCAACTTGGGTACTGTACGATAATGGCACCTATTGAATCGTAGGCTACGACGCAAGTTAGTATAGAAGAATAATCAGCATGCGCTAGTGTAGAGCAAGATGAATCGGACTTTGGCAATTGTGGTTTTTAATGTGCGCTAAAAAAACAGCAGGAAGCGAAAGAGGAGAATATGGACACGGACATGGATAGGTAAAGAGGCCAGCTTGGCATGCCAATCTTGCAAATGGAGCTTGAGGTAAGTAGTTTTAAGTTTTAGCACCATGTTGCAGGGATCAATACATGTTGCATTTTTATTGGCTAGTCAGTAGACGCCGGTCAAAACAGAAAACACACTGTGAGATGATCATGCTAATTTTTTGACTGTGACAACGGCCGACTATGAACCTCTCTCACTGTAAGACTAGGACCACCGTTTAGGAGCCACAATTGCAGAAATCGCCACGATTGGTCATCTTTCGTCTGGGACAGCCCAAAATCGTACAATGTGTACAGAGCATAAGACACAAAGGGCCCCAGCGAAATTTGTGGTTGTTAAATACAATTTTGAAGCTATATTCTTCGCCCTTTCAAATGGCTTGGCATTGTTGTCAATGTCTACCTGGATATTCAAGAGTATGCAAGACAGTTGTACAAGTGTCAAGCTGTAAAAACAGGTTTAAGTGGAATGATTCAAAACCCAGTTGACAACAAAGGCGAAATCACTGTCAGATCTCCCTGCGGTTAAACTGAACTCAAAAGCAGCAACAAAGTGGTTGTCAAAACAGGTGTCTACGGAGACTTGAGGCTATTTCACAATTGCCACGAACACAAACAAGTGAACATACAAGTTGTGGTAGGACTCTAATAGCAGCTGTTCTTGGCTGAAATGGGAATGTACCCCTTGTTTAACCGATATCATGAACCTCTGTAAACCAATATCCATCGCTGACCCTGACCGCCCCCCCCCCCCTTCTCCTGTAACACAGTGGGAGTTCTGAAAGAGGGCCGTTTCAAGTGCGGGCCATTAATGGATACTTGCCCCGATGTTTCAACCTTGAAGCATGACCAATGGTGACAAACAGCGGGCCCCAGGTGCCGCCCGAGGAACCTTGGAGAACTAGGGTGTGGAGTATGTGAGAGCGTGTTTGTGTGTGTGTGCTAAGACGTTGACTCACCAGCCTTGTGTTGTTGTCCCTCTCACGGTCCCTCTCTCTGCCCGTCGGGCCTTGTCCTCCACGCAACAGCTGCTGGGCATCATGAATGGCTTGTGTCACAACATCACCCTCTCCCAAGAAGCCTGAAGAGTGAAAGGGCGAGAGAGAAAGGAAACTTTAGACAAGGTCAAGAGAGATACATTTATCCCTCTCCGTCTTGTGATGAACAAATAAAGCCCTTGGCTCGGTCTCAAGTATATGATCCGATCCAGGACAAGACCCCGTCCAAAGGCTTAAGACAAACAGTCACGTCTGAGGTGCTGACACATTCTCAGGGGCTGGTTCGAAGGGGGAACAGGTTTTCTGAACTGCTGACAACTGCCGTTAATACTTGGGATAGAGGTATGTTGGCAGTGGGAACCCTAAGATGGGTCCTTTCTAACAGGGTGCAGAGAGTCATTTTTACTGAATGTGAACCTCAAGGACTGCCCTCTCAAACAATGCCATGAGAGTACAGCAGGAAAACCACAGTGGACATGTCTGACTCATAGGCCCTTTTTACACCTGGTATTAAGATGTGTTTTGTAGTAGTAGACGAGGGAGTCACCTGGTATTTTAATCTGTCCATTTTGTACAATTTCAACCACTTCTGTCATAATTTCTTTGAGGGGAGGGTCTATAAGTGGTAAATGTATGGGCTTTTTTTTTTAAAGCTCACGCAATTTACATATGAATTTGTGAGTGTGTGTTAGAAACCAGGAATGTTGAGAGAACATTGTGCTTGGTATGTTTTTTGTCTTCAAACCAAACTTGGGTCTTTAGCCGACAAAAGTATAAATCCTGTCTGGCTAGCGCTCTTCCCATAATGTTTACGCATCAGGGGTCTCATTTATAAAACTGTGCGTAGAATCCTTACTAAAAGTGTACGTGCGTCCGAAAGCCAAAAATGGCGTACGCAAACAAATTTACGTACGCCAGAACCTGCGCAGAATTCACTTTATAAATCCCAGTCAGCGGAAGATTGTGCGCACATGCGTCTCCACCCCGAAATAACCATATATGGAGCTTACAACACCTAGTTTTACTATGGATATCCTCATCTGCATTTCATTTTGCATATAATTATTAATCCACGTGATAACATGTTTAACGGTACAAGACATTTGGAAAATATGAAATACGGATGTGCCGTCACATTGGTTACATTAATAAAAAATAATTTAGTAGCCTATATCCTTCCCTTGGTTTTGAATAAATAAATCAAATAGTGTAAAATACATTTCAGAGAAAGTTTTTCTCAATCTTTTCCACTGGCCAAAGAGTATTTTTAATTGATTTATATTTTTAATGGAAACAGGCAGACCTTCTAGTGCATTATTTGCACAAAACTATTTTCTCAGACAATCTGTTATTATCATGATAAGCAATTATCTCTGTAGTTAAAACATTAAAACACAGCATGCCAGAGAAAAAGTGTTTGAAAGCATTGCATCCACAACAAATATTTCTATTTATTGAATATAAAAAAATGTTTTAACTTCTCAGTAATGATTTCATGTAATTTAAGTGTCTAACTCCATTAATCAGAATGGCATATTTAATCTAAATGTTTATATCAGAAGTAAAACATAGTTTTATTTATTTAAACTGTTATTGTGAACATATTTCACAGAACACTGTATTTATGAATATAATGAAGATTTACGGTTTTAGATAGGCTGCGTCAGTTTCACTAAAAAACAAAGGGATGGATATTTAACAAAGGGATGGATGGTTGCTTCATGTGATAGGCTTGGTGAGTAAAATTATATTTGTATTATCTTTCTGTACACTGTATGTATCATTTTCTTTAGATTTTCGGTCTAAAAGTGACCAAAAAGACATTTAGCTCCAGCTCACCATCGGTGTCGCCAAACTGCTCTGTCTCCAAAACGTGCATACGCACGGCTCAAAGTTTGCTTAAAGGTGCGCACATTCTCCCGTCAAGTTTATTTTTTTATAGATCACAACCTTTGCGTGGAAACTGGCGTACGTACGTTTCCAGCCCCGTTTTGTGCGTACGCATGCTTTATAAATGAGACCCCAGGTCAGTAGGCGGAGAGTAGGCGTCTTTTGTGGTTGTTCGAACACATTCGACCATATGAGCGTTTACTCTACGAAAGCAATCCGGTCAAATGCGTTTTTCGACTACCTCTGGAAGTGGTCGAAAGTGGACAAGCTCAAAAGGTTTTAGACCCTGTATTTAGCGTCATCCACTTGTGATCAATCGACCAAGACGCATCTTAATACCAGGTGTAAACAGGGCCATAAAGAGGTAGAGATATTTTTGGACACACCTGACAGCACAACATAAATACAAAGCAATTTGTTGTGCAACTGTAATAAATAAATTCCCAGTCTCAATCTACTAAACAGTGCTGTGGGTTGAGAGGAAATTGCAAGATCAATTGTAACAAAACAATCTTTCAAATCAACTTAAAGCACATAGCACTGCTTCAACCTCTCCAGCACATTGTAATTTTGGAGACTGGATGTGTTGGTGTGGTGAAGTGTCACATACTTAGGCTGAGGGCAGATCGAGGAGGGCTATGGGGCAGATCTCTGGGTCGGTACCCTGACTGCATGTGGGCCAGTTCCAGTGCCTGGGGGCTTGGGGTCTTGGGTTTAGCCGTGAGGTTGAGAGGTTGACTGGTGTCCTTGAACACAAAGTCATCGTAAAATTTGTTAATAAATTACTAAAAATACAACAAAAAGTGAAAGATGACCTGCAGATCAGAGCTAGATAGTGTACCTGGCGAAAGACTGAACCACTGGACCTTTTGGAGTGTGGATTGGGCAGCAATTGCATGGGATATTCCACTAAAAACAAATAAACAAGTACATTTAAAAGACTGAAACATAAGGATTTACAAACATAAATGGTTGGTGGGCATGCGAGAGATCTGCTACCAAACCCGAGCCCAACAGGACATGGCCAACTATCAGGTTTCAAGAAAGGTTCAGGTCAATGTTTCCATTTCACAGGTTCAAAGCAAATATAAATCTTTCCTAGTTACTATCAGTCCAAATGCTCTGTATCCTTAATGACTTCTAAGACATACAGCATTGCAAACTGCTAAGTGTTTATCGCCTATGAACTTCTCTAATTTACCAGCTGGATAAACTCTTTGAGCTCAGATTTGCTTGAGTCCTTGGCCCTCAATTCCAAGTTTCTTTACAATGGCAGCTCAATTGTGTCAGGCATGCTGTTAGCCAACTAGCTCATACACTTGTCCTATTGTTCCCTGTTCTTTCCTTCTATCCTTCATCTTCTAAGCGAATGGAGAACATGCATACATACAGGCATCAAAGTTGTGCATTTACAAGAGTCTTTAAACTAAGCGAGGGCACAGTTCCATAGATTACAGACGTCAATGCAAAGAACCCGCTCTGGATTTTATTTGATCAATATGGACTCTAATTCAATGGACAGCCCTGAGCCGTTCTTTAATGAATGTGCGAGGAAATCACTCGGGCAGACCTTTCAGTGAGTCTTTCTTTATGATGTCCTTTCTAAGTGGACCAAAGACATGAGCAAAACCATCAATTCCTGCAATAACTACTTGTTTTACAGAACAGACCTTCAGACGAACATGCATTAAGAAAAGTTCTTGGAATAGAACGTTTTTTTTATTTCACTTTAGCATAGAATAGCATATTAACTCTTTCGATTCAGCTTGCACTAAGCTACATATTAACTGAAACTACAAACTACAGCTGATAAGCTTGCGCTGAACGGCGCAAGAGCAAACAAGTTTTTCAAATAACCAACAAAGGGTAATATTTGAAGTCAATTATTTAGAGATTTTTGACAGATGCTATTTGATCCATCTGAAGATAACAGATGGCTGAATCCTGTGTCCTAACAGACTCTTATTGTAACAGCTAACAGTTGCTCAATATGCAAATAGGTAGGTCTTCTATGCCTATATCAGGATATGCGAACAATTCACTCCATTGGTCAAAGGGACGGAGGTTGAGGAAGTTTTCTTGAGGGTTTGGTGCGGCCTTACCTGGTTTGCAGGGAATGGGCTGCAGAGGTAAACCCATCTGGGCCTCAGAGGTGACTGGCAACGGCTGGGCGTTGGGGTGAAAGGCGGGGATCATAACATACGGCATGTTTACCTGCTGGTTCAAAGGTCACAGAGAACACCTTAAGTCACCTAATATTGCATTTCCACTCTGTCCAAATAATCTTAATGGAACAATTCACCCAAACAGGTAAGTTCTATTTACTCACTGTCGTGTCATGACCTCATTTCAATTTATTTCTTCTTTAAAATCACCATGAAATCATTGACATTTTGTACAGAACAATACAGTGTTTATTACAAATGCTGTGCACATCATTATTCTTTGTGCACTCGTAATCTTTAATCAAAAACGTTAACTTTTTAAATTTTTTAGGTGAAGTATTCCTTTAAGATCATGGGCCCTATCTTGCACCCGGCGCAAATGACTTTGTACACTGACACATGTATCATTCCTATTTTGCACCCGCGCAAAGCGGGCTTTTCCCTCCACAGACGCACGTCGGTAAACTAGGAAATGAACTTGCGCTCCCTGGGCGGGTCGGCGGAAAAAGAAGGCGTGTTTCGGCGCAAACATTCCCTAGTGCTATTTTGCAGTTGCAGAAAACAATTCCGCCACTGATCAGAAAAAACCTAGTCTAAAGTAAGTGGCGCGTTGCGCGTTGTTCATAATGCTATTTTAAGCGTGCATGCTTGGCCATAATGTAGTGGGTGCACAACACGCATACACTTCTCTCATCAACACAGATGCAGCAGTTTTTATTTTTGCAAATCATACATTATAAGAAGGAAAAATATTAACACATGAGGGAAATCATTGTGGTGTCCATGAAGATGTAAAAAATGTAGGCCTAAATCTAGCTTACACATTTACCCCAATTTTTCAGGCTAATTGTAGTAATGACGGATCAGACCTGTTTGCCCAATAGTGGCAAGACACATATGTATATAAGGACATCTGACAAATGAGTTTGTCCGTCAAGAACCAAAAAAAAAAATCTCCCATCCCCATACAACGTCACTTCTCTGTCTTTCACTGCCCTGACAAGAACGTCGGTCTCCTCGGCTGTGAACCGCTCCTGGCGCGCGCCTGGTAAATGCGCCATAATAATAACAATCCGCCATGCAACATGCGCACCTGCTCTTAAAGGGTATGTTGGATGACGCTCTGATTGGTTTATTTCACGTTACGCCCAAACCACACCTATGAATAATGAAGCTATTTCAGACCAACCCCTTTTAAACTTGCGTCGGGCGCAAGAGTCATTTATCCCGCCGGTAAAATAGCAACAGCGCCCAAGACCCGCCCACAAAGTTACTTGCGCTTCGCGCTTGATACTTGCGTTTCAGATCGTTAAAATAGGGCCCCATAAGTTTCTCCCCACTCTCTAGTAGTTCATACAGTAAAGTAAACTGCAAGGTTTTGAATCATTAACCTCACCTGAATTTGCTGCTGCAGTAAATTGATTTTATGTTGCTGCTGTATCAGCTGCTGCTGCTGTTTGGCAATCTAAAACAGAAAAATCGGCATTCAAAAACCAAACTAATCCATATATTGTTTTTCCTGACAGTGCTTTTTTGCAGTTCCTCTTCAAATGCTCCATCTTTTTCCTTGTCACTTGTTCAACTCTTGTCTACACACCTGTTCTTGCTGCTGTCTTGCCAATTCCATCTGTTGCTGCTGTTTCTCCAGCAGTAGAGCAGCCATATTCCTCTGCTCTGAATGAGCTCCTAGCAGCTGCTCTCGCAGACCAGAGAGCTGGTTTATCATCAACAACAACTGAAACTCCTTCTCTGCCAGACTCTCTGGGGTTCCTGTAAACACATACGCACAAGCTGATGGTCAGGCAGAAGGTGTCAGTGAAAAACAAATGTGAGATGAACCAATCACAATTGAAAAACACACACACACAATGCTATATGGTTACTCCACTAAATGGTTTGCATGACAAAGTGTATGTACTGTATGTGCAGTATAAACAGATAAATTCACCTTTTAAGTTGACACTGGCCTGAAGACCCTTCCCAAGGAACTTTTCTTTCCAGTCTGTATTCAGAAGCTTTTCAATTGTGGGCATCACTAAAAAAATATATATTATATCAAAAACAATTCAATATTTTAACTTTTAATAATTTAAAATGAACCCCTGGACAAAATATGTCTGAAAGCATTTAAATGTAATATTTCTATTAAAACGTAGATTAAATGTTATTATAGTTCTATATATATATATATATATATATATATATATATACACACACACACACACACACACACACATACTGTATATATATATATATATATATATATATATATGAAATTATCTAAAATATACAAGATACATGTGTACTTAATATAATGACGCATAATTATGGAAACAGAGTGACACAATAGAGAAGAAAACACTTTTTGCTGTACTAAAAAAACTAGAGCTTAAAACCCCATTTATAACAAAAGAAAAATAGAAAGTGAAACAATTCTTGGGAATGGGTGAAAATAAAAGGAAAGCTATTTAAGAAAACACTTGAGGACTCTTTAATAACCAATAAGCATTTCCCAGGGGCTGTGAAATATATCATCCAAATGAAATCACTGAAAAGCTTCATAGAACTTGAAACAAAAGAGGAATTAGGAGGATCCTCTCAATGTAGACTGCATTAATAGCAATCAGGTCCTAATTGCTGACAGATACATGGACGAACCACTTAATCAAAATTAAAAGCTCAAAACTTCTTTCAAAATCCTCTTCTGTAAAGGAACCGTTGCCCTTACCCTCACTGACGTTAGGTTTGCTGTCAGTCTTGTCGTAGGCTCTGCTGCCTCCATCTTGACTGGCAGGTGTGTGTGAACGTAGCAGTTCTTTACTGGGAGGAGAACTCTCCTGAACAACACAGGAACAAATCCTCACTACAGAAATCTCATATCTTATCATGAAAAAAGTCCATTGTCTTGATATCAAATTACTTTAATTTATAAAACAAGACTAAAATTCATGAACAACACATCATCAAACTCCAGGTCATACCAAGTGTGCGTTAGGTGGCGCTGACTTCTCAACTGACCAATCACAGATCGGAGAGGATTCCCGGTTGACAAATCTGCCTCCCAATTCGTCGTCTTCAAGCTTGATACCAACACCCACCATGGTCACATTGCTCTTGGCATGGGGATGCAGAGCAGGTGGACTGGGCTCACACATTCTGCAAAAACAAAAAATAACATTTATCAGAGCATGCTAGTCAAAAGAAAGAAAAAGTTTGCCTTTATAATCTTGCACCAAAACAACTTGCTCCACCTCAGCTGATGTTATCAAGCCCTCTTATTTTTCAACCACCTGTCACACTTTGGAGTATCAGATCAACTCCTGATGGATAAAAACTAGTTCTCCCCTACGTTTTCCTATTAAATATTCTGTTTCACTCAATGAACAATATGTCACGTTACAGAAGGAAAATGCAGTGCATAGATGGACAATTTCATGTTGAATTCACTTTTCAGCAAGAATTTGGAAACCATGTCAGACTGCATTGCTAACAAGGGTATTCCGGTTTTGTACAGCTACTGTCTGGGAAGAACAGAGAGACCACGGGGGGAAAAAAAGCAGCTGACTGCTTTGCATAAGGAACAGAAGGGTTTTTGTGGAGCCCAGACACAGGCCACCCCATTCGAACTCTTTCACCGAAGCCACTTCTTCAGGGTCTCCAGGGCTCTGTGTCGGGAGAGGATATTTGTGCGGGATTGTGTTGTGTGTGCACGTCAGAGTTGTTCAAATCTGTCAACATACTGTCAGAAAACAGATGCCAGACTACTGTGCCCATCAAGTATCTGGCCGTCTCAAGTAGCACACCAAACCCTTCTGCAATGAAGGACAAGAGGAGGAGAGAGACGGAGAGAGTGAAGGAAAGAAAGAAAGAGAGAGAAGGCAATTTCAAAATTAGCCGAGGTCTATAAACACCTCTCCTCCACCTCCTCCTTCGCTCTGCACGACAAAAGAAACACAAGACAACCCAAAGAAAACAAACACAAGGGAAAATGCATCTCTCCCTTTCTTTTTCACTCTCTAGCGCTCTGCAAATATATATATATATATATATATATAATGCCCATTGTTACAGAGAAAGAACAAAGGAAGTTTAAACAATGGGCATGACATGGACAAAAGCAATAGGCTGCAGGAAACACAGCAGGGTAACAATACAAACGGAATGTGCCGATGGTCCGTGGCAGAAAAAAAAAAAAAAGTGGAACAGTCACTGGGCCGATTCCAGTTCCTCCTGTATTTTTTCATCCACTCTGAAAACACAAAAGCAGCTTGTACGTTTACATTAAGGCGCAAGAGAAAGGGTGAATGCTTAGCTCAAACGTTTTCTGTTAAGCTGAGCAACTTGGTTGAATTGAAAATAATTCAATGGACCAATCTGTTCTTTTGAAGTAATGATTTGCCAATGTACCATGGAGGAAATTGGCCAAGCCTTGGAAGGTTTGGGCAAAAGGGCGTTGTTTTCTGTTCGTGTATTTGCCTGACCGCAAAGCAAACAAAAGTTTGTGTGTGAAAGTAAAAAACCTTAAGAGCTCAATTAAGTTGGATAAACTTTTTATCCGACAAGAAAACATGCACATAAACTACGATGGAAACACATTTACAGTATAAATTCCTCGATGCGCATAAAAAAAAAAAAGTGACTTTGCTATGGGACGGCATAACTGGACTAACCAGCGGACCGATCTCGGTGCACAGCATCTGAAAGGCTGTTTTGGTTGTTCTGAAGTGCCTGAGCAAAGTCTGTCGTCAAAGTGGTCTGGCATAATTACCTCCCAAAACTGTGTAACACGACTGTGTTCCCAAACAGCAGCATCTGCCTCCGAAAGCAAGATCACTTTATTGCGTTTCGTCTGCGCGCTCTGAGGCGCAAGCAATTGATTATATAGGGAATTATTATATACAGTGGCTTCTCCGGCTACAGCAACTTCCATTCTTCCTAGTTGTATTTTGAACCAGTTTAACAGGATGATTTTATATTCTTTGGCTCACTGGACGGAAATGTTTTATGCAATATTCCAATTTCAATTCCAATTTCAAAAAAGCTCAATTCGCAACTTTGGATGGAAACATAGCTATTGGTAGTCAGCGCACTCAGTTAAGGTTGATCTCTTGCTACGAATCACTGTCAGCTGTGAACCGCAAACTTGATACGGTCTTCCCAAATCAGATTTAGATACCAAGGACAAGACCCCCTCCTTTCCCTGGGAACCAAGTGCACTCACGAAAGATCCTTGTAAAATAACCCGCCACCATTGGTGCATTATAAATAAACACTTGCAAGAAGTCTACACTATTAAAGTCTCTATTGTGACGAGGCTAAAATTATTCCTGTTCCCCCAGTTGAGAAGCACTGATCCACAAACCAGGTGCAGGAAGTGTGAATTTGTCAGCTCCTTCCAAGTGCACTTGTAGTTCTAGAGATATTCCGGCTATTTGCTTGGAGGGATTTGACTGTCAAAAAATGGCACAGCCTCAAGCTCCAAACGGATTCGTGAAGATTAATGCTAAAGCAAAGCTCCTTCGCGCTCGTCACGCACAAGTGTTAAAGAATGTTGCATTGTAAAAAAAGCAACAGTTGGAAGGGTAAATAGTTAACCAGCAAACTTTTTGTAATGTCAATATGTAACCGAATGCAAATCTTAAATATTTATGGAAGCCAATTTGAACTATAGAGTATAGTAAATAAAAAGGTAATAATTTCTCTTAATTGTGTTTTTCTCACTCACAACTGCAATGTTATGTCTCATAATTTTAACAATCTTTTTGTAAATAGAATTAAAGTAAAACAGGCTTCCATTAATATTTAATTAGTTTTGAAAAAAAAGAAAAGAAAGGAATACAAAAGGACAGCACTGACAGCATTGTTCTTAATCCCCTTTAAAAGGTGAATGTGTCATAACTTGGTAATTGCGATAAGAAATATAAATGACAAGCTCTTGTGTCAGCACATGCAAAACAAGCCAGAAAGACTTAACAGTATGATTGATGGTAACTGCCAGTGGGTCTCACAAGACTACAAGTTTCGAGTTTGTTCTTACCTGTTTTTCGGATGTGGAGCCATAAGATGTATTTCCAAAGAGCTCTGACAGTCTTTTGTGGTCTAAGATAATATCAGCCTCCAGGTTCTTTGCGTTTGAGCTAAAACACCTCTGAAATGATATACTTCCCACGGTCAGGAGTGCGCGAGACAAAAGCTTAAGTTCCCTTACAAGTCGTAACGTGTTGCGGCCTCACATTCTGTCCCGCACTCCTCTGATGCAAATACGAGTTTTCTTTGTTGTTTCTAACTCTCCCTTCCCTTATGATGGCACTGAAGTGGTTAATTTCCGCATTGTGACAAGTCAAGCTTCTAAACATTGTCGAAAAGGACAAATAAAACTGTCAGAAGTGCCAAAAACAAGCCTGTGCGTGCAAAGACTTTGTTTTACTGAAATCTAAGCGATCATTAAAGGAACAGAAGACCCGTAGTGACATAACACCAGTTTGAACATGAAGTCTAAAGGCTTTTTAACACCCTAAATCATTGCACTTGCCAATTAGGCATGTAACAATTAAACACGTTTTAACTTTACAAGCACCTGTTGTAAACCAGCACTTGACACAACGTGAGAATGCAGCAAACTGCTCTGGATGATGGTAGGTTTCCCCTAAGACCAGACAGGTGAACACTTTTGGGTCTTCAGCTAAAAGCAGAAGTGTTTGTAAGCTTTGAGCCCATCAGCATGCGATGCAAAGTCCAATCAGCTGTTGAAATCCAGCAACAGGAACTTCTAAACCCACCTGCCAGTAACTATACTCTTAGCAAAGATACAAAGCCTTGACCCAAGCAAACGGTCTACCAACCTCAAGAGCATGTGGTCAGTTTTCATCGTCTTCGGGTCGTCTCTTGGAAACCGTTTCACTTGCCAGTGTGGAAACATGTAGAAGCAACTCATGTTGTTAGGTGGAAGACGGTGGACACCTCTTTAGTAAAACTGCCCAGTGACGTCCCAGGAATTGAGAGGAGAGCTGGTGTCTCTCAGTCTTAATGCCGGATGCACAAAACTGCGGTCACGAAATTATGCCCTATAGCGAAGGCAAACAGTAGCATTTGCATGACTTTTGCCTCGGTTATAACTTTCCACTGAGTACTTTACACAGATAGGGATTTGATAACATTGTAAAAAGTGAAATTGGAGAGGGGTATCCAGGAATAAACATGGCAGAAAACAAAATCGGACAGATATAGAAAGAACATTTTGTTTGTGTTTCGATTTGACTGCTGAAGACATTTACGTCTGTCGTACAAAAAAACAAAACAAAAAACCCCAAAAAGATACATATCTACTTGTATATTTTATAAGACTAAATACAGTTACAGGAAAAAATTCAATGATCAAACAATGCTTTAATTTGGATGAACAAGACGAACAAATGAGTAAAAACTGCGTAACAGGTCAAACCTTTTTCTGGAAGAACAATAATATCAATTAATTTTTCTTAACAAAAAAAAACAAAAAACATTTCACACTATTACTTTTAGGGTGTGTTATACAATGCCTAAAACAATTGTTCATAAACATGCTTTACAAACTCTACAAGAAACGCCTTAAAACTAATCATGTAGTAATTACAGTAAATAATACATTCATTTAGCATTTAAGTCATAGGGCATATTATAATGCAGCTTTTACGATGCCACTTAGTTCACAAACAAACAAACGTAACACGAATCGTTGCATTTTCCGAGAAATAACATGAAACAGTACCGTGCAAAATCTGTCTAAAAATCAAAAACAAAGACGGTAGTAAACTTGTGGCAAGCTAGTAGTCAAAACCACTTGCCCACGACATTCATTGCAGACTCGGCATGAAAGCCATGCAAATGTACTTTCATTAATTTTGAGGACTGAGTTTTGTGCATAAACAGCTCTTTTTTGATGGACTTTCCTCTTCCGTGCAGGGGACAGTCCCTGAAAGTCGTCGATTTTGAATGAGTAACCGACTACAATTTGTAAGTAATCTAGAGTAGAAATTACATAAAAAGTTCATAACTTTGCATGTAAATCCACTGGCATTGTTAATAGACACGAAAAACTATGTGTGTGAAAAATATATTAAAAGTATATTTTCTAAAAGTCCACCGGGACAAAAGGGGCCATAGCTGAAGAAGCACCCTTACATATTTCCCATAAATCAGCAGGATACGTCAAAACATGCATCGTCTGCGACTTTCTCCAGTCGACTTTCAACAAAAGCAGCTCTAAAGATCAGAATTTTGGACTCATGTTCATTTGAGACCTTCCTAAATAAGACGTATAAATGGGATGATGATACGACCACGCTCTGGACACAAAAGAGAGGGAGAGGAGAAAGAAAGGAGAGTGGAGATACACAGAATTATAGTACGTACAACATTCATTTGGCATTTACGTCATAGGAAATATTATAATGCAACTTTGCAAATTACGATGCCACCTAGTTCATAAACAAACCAATGTAATACGAGTCGTTGCATTTTCCGAGAAATAACATGAAACGGTAGCTTGCAACAAGCTGAGTGTCTAAAAAACAAAAACAACGATGGTAGTAAACTTGTGGCAAGCTAGTAGTCAAAACCACTTGCCCACGACATTCATTGCCGACTCGAACATGAAAGACATGCAAATGCATTTTCATTAATTTTGAGGAATGCATTTTGCGCAATAACAGCTCTTTTTTGATGGACTTTCCTCTTCCGTGCAGGGGACAGTCCCTGCCTAAACTCACCAGTCTTGATGTTTTGAATGCAGGAAGGGGGAAAAAAAACAATGCAAATCAACAGGGTTTACACAGAGTTTAGGAAACACAAGGACACGGGGACATACTGTACATTGTTTCCGGGTCCAAGCCTCTACTCCACTATCTCAAAAGTCATTCATGAGCACTAAAGGAACTATGTTCCTTTTTAGAAAGAAATGATATCTGCGAGGATTTTCAGTCAGGATTTAGACCGTACAATAGTACTGAGACAGCTCTCATTAGAGTCACAAATGATTTTCTTATTATCCGATCATGGTTGTATCTCGCTATTGGTGTTACTCGATCTAAGTGCTGCATTTGATACTATCGACCTCAACAAATAGACTCGAAAATTATGTTGGCATTAGTGGAATTGCATTAGCATGGTTTTTTATCAGTTTGTAGCAGTAAATGAAGAGATGTCTTATCGATCACAAGGCTCAGTACTAGAACCGTTGCTGTTCACCCTGTACACCCTGTTTATACCCTAGATATCATTAGGAAGCATGGAATTAGTTTTTACTGTTATGCTGATGATACTCAGCTTTATATTTCTTCACGCCCTGACGAAACTTACCAATTCACAAAATTAACGGAATGCATAGCTGATTAAAAAATTGGATGACTAGTAATTTCCTACTACTTAATTCTGAAAAAAACAGAGATTCTAATTATTGGACAAAAAACTTCCACACGTAATAACCTAGAATACTGTCTAACACTTGATGGCTGCTCTGTCAAGTCTTCGTCGTCGGTTAGGAACCTGGGTGTGTGTGTGTGTGTGTGGGTGTGCTCTTTGATAGCAATCTTTCATTTGAAAGTCACGTGAATAGTATCTGTAAAACTGCATTTTTTCATCTTAAAAATATATCTAAATTACGTCATATGCTCTCATTGACAAATGCGGAACAATTAGTTCATGCGTTCATGACATCAAGGCTAGATTATTGTAATGCTATTATGGGTGGTTGCCCTGCACGCTTAATAAACAAACTACAGCTGGTCCAAAACGCAGCAGCTCGAGTTCTTACCAGAACCAGGAAGTATGACCATATTAGTCCGGTTCTGTCAACACTGCATTGGCTCCTTATTAAACATCGTATACATTTTTTAATATTGCTGATTACTTACAAAGCACTAAATGGTTTAGCTCCCCAGTACTTGAGCGAGCTCTTAACGCATTATAGTCCTTCACGTCTATTGCGATCTCAAAGTTCCGGCCAGTTGATAATACCTAGAATATCAAAATCGACTGCTGGGGGTAGATCATTTTCCTATTTAGCACCTAAACTTCGGAACAGTCTTCCTAACATTGTCCGGGAAGCAGGCACACTCTGTCAGTTCAAATCTAGACTAAAAACACATCTCTTTGACCTAGCATAGACATAACACACTATAGACTACTATAAATCAATTTAGGCTGCATAGATTAGGTCAGCCGGAACCGGGAACACTTCCCATAAATCCTGATGTACTCGTTACATCATAAGAAGAATGGCATCTACGCTAATATTAGTCTCTCTGTTTATCCCGAGGTTTACCGCAGTCCGCCGGATCCAGGCCATATCCAGATCTGATGAAGGACCTGCGTCTGGACGCGACAACAACACAGTCCTGAAGTGTCAACTAGTCCCTCCCTGTGAAGGCCTCCCTCCCATCCCTTGCCTCTCTACAGATAAAGCGTTGTTGGGATAGGTTCGGTTCGCGTAGCTAAGGTTAAGGTCAGCACACCGTGAGTTTATATTAGCACCGTTTGACGTTTGCTTTAGATTGTTTGCGTTTGGAGCCGAAATCTGTGATGTCAGACGTCGGATTGTTGTGACTCAAATACATTTGATTTGAATAAATATATTGCTAAAGCTATTAAACTTTTGCTAAATCTTTCTGGAAATTAGGAGCCAAAAAAAGAAAAGAAAAGAAGAGTTTTCAATTACTGGTGATTCTTAAACTATAGACATTTTTAAGCATCAGGGGGGTATTTTTTTTTTTAAATTATTATTTTTATTTTTTTATAATTATATATATAAAAATACATTTAAAAAAAAGTAGATTATAATGATTTTTTTTTTTTTTTCACTTTTACAAAAGTACTACTTGATAAAAACTTAGCTTCTGGACATGATGAACATGACTAAAAAAACTAGCAAATAAGTTTTATCAACAGTTCACGAGTTCACACTCTATAATTAGAGTGGATAAGATTTAATGCGTATTTGGCGTGCTGTCCGGGGGAAGGGCTCCGAGCTCGGAGTTTGGCCCCCACCCAGAGTACCCCCCCCCCCCCCCCCCCTCCCCCTCCCCCTCCCTCCCTCCCTCCCCTCCTCCCCCCTCCCTCCCTCCCCTCCTCCCTATGTCAGTGTTTAGGACTGGAAGTGTGGAGAAGGGGCGGTGGAGGGATGCTGCTAAACTATGAATGGAGTGAGGTGAGATTGCTGAATCTATATATACACCTCTTATCATTGATTGCTGAGTGCACTCCACTTGTGTTAATTAACTGAACGTGCTCCTCCCGAACTTTGTTAATAAAACATCATTTAGTGTACTTATAATTCACTTCACGGAATATTACCATTGGGCGTAGTTTCCAATCAAGTTGTAATTTTATGTAATTATGCAAATCATATATGTTTTTAGGATAATATTTGAAACATATATATATATATATATATATATATATATATATATATATATATAAAATCCTAGAGACAATTACGATTGCATAATTATATAAAAGTTTCATAAAATATATAAAACGGTTAAAAATAAGTCCCATCACTATCAGTTCCATCACAGAATGCTTTTAAACACAATATATATAATTTAAGATGGAAACAGTGCTGGGTAGTAACTGATTACATGTATTCTGGATTACGTAATTAGACTCCAAAAATTAAGAACTTTTTAAACATTTTAAAATACTCGTAATCAGACTACAGTTCATATACATATACGTTCAGACGTTCTTCCGTCACAAACCCTAGTTTGGGAAACCCAAACTTCATGTTGATGATAATATAATAATGAAATGAAATATATTTTTATATCAATATGATACATAATTATCCTATTCAAATCAATGTGATAAACGAGTTAGGTAAAAAGTAATCTAAAAGTAATCAAAAAGTAGTCCGATTATATTACTTTAATGTGTAATGTAATGGATTAGGTTACTCATGTAATTTGGAATCAGTAACAGGCTATAATTTGTAAGTAATCTAGAGTAGAAATTAC